AATATGAACTACCGTAAAATTCCTTTTTGAGGCCGCAGCTTTAATAGAAGCCGCACCCCTAACTTGAGACATTGTTTCATGTTGAAATTGACAAGTTTTGATCCCAGGGAAAAGTCTGCAATATAAGCCGCACCCCAAACTTTCACAAACCAAACAGCCACCACATATTTCAGAAAAAGATATACCATTTAATTTTAAATTAAGGCATAATTTTTCGAACATTTCAATGATTCCTGTCGCTTAAATTAGAGTCTAATTAAGGTTTTCCGTAGTCATTTACGCTTATTCCAGAGTACAGGTTTATTGTTGGTAACGTGACTGGGTAAACTGCGTTTCGACCATGAGCTGTTATTATCTTCAAAAGTGTTAAATTCTTCTTCAATGCTCAGCTTATCTTTTGAAAACAACTAATTTCTTGACTTAAAAAAAATCATGCCGTTTTCCCATCAAAATCAAAGCCAAACAACGGTAACTACAACAACAACAACCACAACAACGGTAAATCTCTTCCGTGTTTCGTTTACCATGAGGTCGCTGAACTACATTAACATATTTAAATGAGCTATGGTAATTTAATCACGTTGGCACCATCCAGCGTTTCGATTGGTTAATTAGCGACTTGACCTATCAGGTCAACATAACAGTTTCAAGTCACTAAAGATGTTTGGACTAACATGGCGGATATCGTATCGGATCGAGCATTTATATGTGACCAAAATCATTCGCTTGTGGTGAAACTAAGTTGAATTTTCACAACAATTCAACGAATTTATTTTTTGTACATTATTGTAATCACTACTGATCAGCAATCAGCAATTGTAACACTTCGAAAACAAGTAAGTTATTCACTTGTGTGAAACGCAGCATGACCGTTACCGTGATCATTTGCTACTAAGAATGCATTCGTTTTTGTTTTGACTTCTTTTAGAATATACTTTTCATTATACTGAGTATTTTTTTCGTTATCATTTTTTTTTTTTTGACTTTTTTTATTTTAATTTCCCCGATGTCTAGATTAAACATGGAATGTACAGTCACTCTGCCGGAAGTCGAACATGCCGCAATCGACTGTGTCAGATGGCTGTCTGCACGGTTACTAAAAGAGTGACCGGTGCTAACGAATTAGTCTATTCAAGAGATTGTAGTATACAGTACCGTAATCTGCAAATGCATACAAATCTATTTGTAGATATTATTTATTGTGCAGTATGTTATACAGTGTGAAATTTCGTTTGTGTACAAGTTTGTCTGTGTGTAAAAATCCGAAAGTGCGTTAGAATCGCAACAAAGTTGCAATCGAGTGTTGTGCATCTCATTAGCATATCATTATCTCTTCTGGCCTTTGTTTTCTGAAAAAATTCCC